GTTCTTATGGTGAGTGCGGCGCGTTGCCTCCCTCCCCGCGGCCTTTCTTTGCCCCCTCCCCCCCCCGCCCCCGCCGCGAGTGGTCCGAGCCGCCCCCACAACCCCCCGCGCGCGGCGCGGCGCCTCCCTTTGCCTTGGTGGAGGCCGAGCGGAGCGGAGCGGAGCCGCCTGCGGCCTGCCCCGGGCCCAGCACTGCCGGTGAGTGCTGCTTCGCCTCCCCCCTCCTTCCCCCTCCTTCGTTTTCCCCCGTAGGTCTGGTAATGGGGGATTCGGGGGTCTCTAGGGAGTCCCTTGCTCCTCATACAGGCCTTTCGGGGGGGGCGGGGGAGGAGCCCCTCGTGATCCGTGGGGTCTTTTCCTCCTCAGGGGGCAGGGGAAGGGGTTGTGGGGGCTTCTCGCCATGCGTGGGATCCCTTTCTCTTCTCACAGTCCTCAGGAAAGCTTGCGATCACCTTCCCTGCTATCTGTGGGGTCCTTTCCTGCTCTTAGGTCAGGGGATGGGGGGTTTTGGGGGTATCTCGTTATCGGTGAGGCCCCTTCCCTCACAGTGGCGGGAAGGGGGGAGTTTTGAGGTACCCTCATTATATATGGGAATCTTTTTTCCTCTTACAGTCTCGAGGAAGGGAGGTTGTGGGGTTCCCCCGTCATCTGTGTAATCTCTTCCTCTTCACGGCCTCGGGAATGGGGGTTGTTCGCCCCCCACCGTTATCTGTGGGGTCACTTTCCCCCCGGATTCCTGAGGGAGAGGGCTTAGGGGGTGCCCTTAGTCTTTGGGATTACTTTCCCCCATTCAAAGCCCCAGGGAGCTGTGGGGTGATACCTCCCCACTCCCCCGACAATCTCTTAAGTGTCTTTCCTGTTAATAGGTCTAGGAAGGGGGTTGTGAGAGGCCCCTCGATTCCCTCTGGGGTCTTCTCTCCCCTCACACCCCGAGAAAGGAGAATGTGGGGGACCCCTCGTTATCTGGGAGATGCCTTCACCCCTTCCAGGCCTAGAGAAGGGGAGTTGTAGGGGTCTTCCATCTCTCTGGGGTCGCTTCCCTTTTGCAAGCTCTAGGTACGTGGCTGTAAGAACACCCTATTGTGGGTGTAAGGGCTGGATGTGCTGATACTGGAGGTCTCCCTAAACCTGTCCACCTTTTGGGACGGGGGGCAGGTTCCCTCTCTGTTGGGGTGCTGATTTTGGGGATACCCCTGCTGTATGGAGCTTGACGCATTCAACTCTGGAAGTGTCAGTGCGATTCCTGCCCTGGTAGGGAGGGGAATTTTAGGCGACTCCCTCTGTCCCCCAGCAGCTCTGAGTGCCTCAGGGGGTTTGCTCTTCTCCCCATTCCTCATCTTGGCAAGGGTTTCTTGTCGAGTCACCTGCTGCAAAGGGAAACTCGAGCTGCTGCCCTGTCCTGGCGCAGAGAAGCTGGCAGCCCTCTGTAACTGAAGCAGCAGTCTGATCCAGCCCGTGGCCCAGCACCCTTAGCTGCCTCCCCAAACTTGCTTTGGAGCTGGGCACCTTTTAAAGTCAGGCCTCCCCTGTGGTCCTGCGTGTCCTCTGTAGGTGCACCTGGGCTCTGTTTGTCTTGCCTCTCCATGTGCTGGTGTTCTCAACCCCTCTGTAACCTTGGCAGCGCCTCCCGCAGCCCGTCCTGCTCTTTCTGCTTTTCCTTTTTGTTTCCACGACAGCTCATTCAGGAGGTATCCCTTTCAAAACTGCATTTGGGGAATGCGCAGAGCCGGGGAGGAGTGGTTGTGCAGAGGTTGCTAATGTGCTCCCTGGGGGTTAGTGAAGGATTACAGCTGTAGCTAAAGTTGCTGAGGCTGCTACAGTCATGTCATTCCTCACCTCCCGGGTGTTCACCGAAATCAATATGGGTTTGTTCTTTCACATCTAGATCATTGATGCTTTGGAATTGATTGTAATCTGATGTTCACAATCCTGTTGTGCTCAGTATGAAAGGGAAAATAACTTTGCTTTACCCTATAGCTGTAATTCTTTCCTCTCCTTTTCTAGGTGTGCCCCCTTTCTCCTTGACCTTGCAGGTATGCCTTTTTTCTCTTCACCTAAGCTGTTTGTTTTCAACTACTTTGCTTTTTCTTGTGAAGGTGACTTCTTTCCTGTCTTCCCCTACTGCTGATTTCGCATGTCCTTGATTATCTCTTCATTAGCAATCAGCAGCATTGTTGCTTGGAGCAAAGAGTGGCGTTTTTAGGTGATCAAGGTTGGGAGTCGTCCTTTCTGTGGCTAAAGGTTAGTGTGGAGCTTTGTATTATAGCAAAGGTGACGAAGGTGGTCCTTGTCCTGACTGCATGTCCTGCTTTGAGCAGGCAGTTCTGTCGCTCGTGAGTTGGGGGAGAGCCAATTTAGAGAGTTAAACCAGCAAAAGAGCAATACTACACGAGCGTTGATGTTTTCTTTTGCTTTAGCTGCCTGTATTGACATAGCGCCAGTGTTGAGGAGGGGGTGGATTTGCTCCCTTCAGCTGCAAGAGGCCATCAGACCCTCTGGTGTGAAACCAGTCTCAGTTCTTTTAACTCTGAATTGCTGATAAGGAAAAAAAAGAAAAAAAAAAAAGGAGGCGGGGCAGGGTTGATGGTTGCCTTTCCTTTGCTGTAGAGCAGGTAGGTACGAGGCAGCTGTGTCTAACTGGGGCCTGAACGGCTCTCGCTTTTGTGCAGGACTGCAGCAGTAGCAGTTTTGGGAAGAGAAACGTTTCACTAGGAAGATGTGAGCAGCGCAGATGTCTTGAGTGTGGCATAGCCTAGGCATCAGGCTGAGGCTGCAGAAAGGAACAGAGTGGTGGTGCCCGTGGACGTTCTTGCTCCCCTTTCTGCTCTGTCTCTGACATCAAATGGGCCCTTCCTGCGTTTTCTGGCGTTTATTTTTCTGGCTGCTGTTGGGATGAGTGTTCAGGAGCTGCTGGTGGGGAGGCTGGTGTGACATGCTGTAGGACAGCAGCACTAAATATATAACCATGTTGGCCTGGTCAAAATCAGCTGTGCCAAGGCATGTAAGCAAATACGCAAGATGGATTAGGATAGAATCTTCTGCAGTGAGAACCCGTCAGTGCTGGGCTGGGGGAAGAGCGACCAGTGCTGGCTTAATTGCTGCTTGGACCTTCAGAAATCAGGACTTTCCTGCATAACCTTTGGGACTGCGTCCACAGGGTGTGTTTGGGGTTGAACCACTGCGAGCTGCCCTGTGTCTCCATCATCCCATGTTCCCTGGTGCCACCTGATGCCCATTTTTTATGTCTTCTCTGAAGAAAGGAGTTGAACCATGACTGTAATCTTGCCCTCTTGGTTATGGCGTGCAGAAAGCAGCTGTCGCATCCCTCCAGAAATCGGTGACGGATGAGATTTGCAGCTCTTGCTCGTCTAAAGATACTTTTTTCAAGGCTATTGGAAATATTTTAAGCCGTATCAAACTGTTAAATTATTTCTGGGAGAGCTGCTTTCCAATTGTGGCGCTGCCTGAGTTGCTGTGCCTTGTTGGGAGCTGACACACAGCTGAAATTAAAATTGCAGTTTGGTTCCAGTGCAAGAAATTGTGCAGGGCCTGATTTTAGGAATTTAGGTCTCTGGGAGGCTGCGACAGACATACTTATAGCCTGACTGCCCCAAAAAAGCCACGTTTATTTTATAGGCCTCTCAATGCAGGATAAATGTAACTTTCTCATGGACAGAAGAGAAAGAGTGGCTTTCATTAAACAAATAAGTGGAGTTGACTTAACTTTCTTTTCTTGGCTACAGCCTTAGGGTAATGTATTGTACGCTTTTGTTTTACTGACTTTTTACAAAGTAGCTAGACTTAAGGGGATAATGCAGCCAAATAGCTGAAGTCCAAAGCTTATTTTGGATTTACAGAACAATAGAGACCTTTTCATTGCCTATTTTTAACTTCATGCATTTCCCTGCAGCGCTGGAAGTACAGAGCAGATTTGTTCTGGCTTGAAATATCCAGGACGTGGTGACAAGACAACACCAAGCCCAAAGCTCTGGAGCAGTAGCTATGATCAAAAATTCTTCTTTCGGGTTTTTGTAAGCCCTCTTTAATGGTACATGGGAGGCCTAAACATTGCCTGATGATTTTTTATTTTTTATTTCTTTTGGTTACTTGGGAGTATTTGATTATTTGGCATCGATAAATGTTAATAATAGGATTTGCCTTTCCAGTGGCTTTATGCTTTGTAAAACAGCCGATAGATTGTCTGCACTGTTGCTGAAAAAGCAAAATTGTCCTGGGTACGCAGGAGCCAGTCTCTGGTGTGTGCAGAAAGAACCATTACATTTTTCTACTCAACTCCCAAATTGGTGTTTCTTAAACACTTTTTGGGAAGTTTGCTGCCTCCGTCTCAAAGTATTAGTTTGTCTTAGTGCTAAAAAAAGATGCTAGTTAAATGAAAAACTGCTTCACTTCTGAAAAATGTTACGAGACAGCGGGTGAATGTGGTTTGAAGGAGCGACCTGAGCTGCCAGCAGGGTTCTGAGCGTGCGTGGACTGATGAGTTTCAGATTCAGCACTAGTTTCTGTGCGCTTTTTGCCAGTGGAGAGCGTTCATAAAACTGTAGCACGTTCTTTTAATTGTAAAACTTCCTGTTTGAGGAAGTGAAGCGAGTAGTTAAGAATACCAGGCGGAAAACATTGAAGCAACCGCGTAGGCTGTGGTTTGGTGCGGTGGTAAATCTTGGCTGCCTCACACCAGCCGGCGAGCAGCATGACAAGTTGCAGGCTCTTAAGAAGTCAAAGTCAGTTTAAATTTCTTCCAGAACCTTTGAAGAGGTAAGTTTGTCCCTCCAGACTTTGTCAGATCAGGTATACCCTCTTCACTCATCGTACTGGGATTTAGCAGACTTGGCTGAAGTGGGATTGTGAGCTGGTGTCTCTTCTGGATTAAATTTGGATGCTGGGAGAACTGGTAGTGCTCTGGTCTGCTGTTAGTGGTCTGCTGCTCATATCTCTCATTAGGTTGTCTGTCTGCACCAGCTCAGGTGATGGTTTGTGTAATTAAAATCCTTTTGTATGCCTTTTCCCAGGTTCCTCTGGGGGAACTTATGAACACAGAGTAGAAAAGACTTTTTTTTTTTTTTTTTCTCCCAATTTTCGCTTGTGTCTGGGAACTTTACTGAAAATCTGGTCTTTATCATAACTGAATCTAAGGCTCGGCCCCTGACGGAAACAAATAGGTGCTGCAATTATCTTGGACTGGTTTTCAGAAAATGATATTGCTGCTTGTTGTGGTGAATTCCTTTTATGAAGATTCTCCCTGGTAATAATCTTCCTAAAAAAACAGTACTCGAATTCCTGTGAGCCGGATTTGATGGAGAACGTTTGTGGTCGCTTTGGCCTGGGGGTTTGTGTTTGCTTCCTTGCCGAAATACCCTTTTTCTGTGTAATGTTGAATTGGTGACATGAGAAGCTGTGTCTTGTCAGGCTTCGTAGGTGTGGACTTAAAGGTATGGCTCTTAAAGACTTAAATTCCACCGCTGGCATTCACATGTCGTATTGATGCTTTCCTAAAAATATAGTAGGTTGACTATTGGCGCTAGTGTGTTTTTCTGTCTCATTCACAGAATGTTTTACAGATCGCTAACTTCTGGGAGAAATAACTACAGTCGTGTGCAGTCGTTATTTGACGTTGTAACTGTTAAATTTTCAGAATTCTTTCATGTCTTTGCTCTTGGTGTTTAGTTACCTGAAACTGGGGGACCTGAGCTTCGCTTCTGCACCAGCTGACAGTATTGTTGTGGCAGGTTGGCAGCCTCTCTGCCTGATTCCCTGTCATGATGGGGGTAGATCCTGTTGGTTATGTGTATTTTTTTAATTTAAATTTCAAGTAACTGGTTGTCTGTGATGTTGGTTCCTGAAGGTAACGTAGTTCTGGAGAGTTAACCAGATGTACGTTTAATTAAATGTATTATGTATGGGGAGATTTAACTATATGATAATATATTTGGCTGTTGTCATTCTGTATCCTTGATGACGAGCTGCTGCATCTCGAGAACTGGAAACTTTCTCTAACTTTATCTTTTCTCTTAATGCTATCATAGGAGCTAAAAAAGTAAGTACTCTCTAGTTGTCATGTGGTTTTTGCACATTTTGGAAAATCAGGGGGATATAGGCACTGATCTGATACTTCTTACTAGACAGATTATTGCACAGTTTTCTGATTTCCACTGGAAATAAGTGTACCTTTCCAGGTTTATTTAATAAATCCACCTGTGTCTTACTTTGATTCGAGGTGGTTCTTTGATTTGAGAGAACCTCCTGACAGCTGGAGTCCTCAGTAATGCACCTCACCCTTGAGATGAGCAATGTGGGGGCTGCAACTCCAGTGCCTGAAGCTGTTTGCGCAAGAACTTGAGCAAAATCACCTATGATTAAAACCAAAAAAAAAAAAATTAACCCCCAAATTTTAGTTCTATTTGTGTCAAATGGTCATGTTCTTTCTATAAGAAATGTTAATAGCAAATTAAATATGTAAAGCTGTGACAGTTTGAGCTGCATTGAGTCATGTCGGGTTTTTTGTTACGCCCGCTGGAGATTCTTCCTGAAATAGTTTTAAGTCATGACCTCAGAATACAAAAGCACCTGCATTGGGGTAATGACGTATTCCCAATAAAGGATCTCCTTGAAGGCTTTATTCACTTATAGACTATGCTTTTTCCTTGGGATAACTCAAATGAACATGAACTTGGAGCCAAGCAGAGCGCATCAGGCAAATACAGAAAGCTGATCTTCTGTTTAGGAGTCCTTATCGACCGAAGTAACCTAAAAATTCAAATGTATTGTCCTACCTATGCAGTTTCAGTTGTGCAATTTGCTTTCCCTGTGGATTTTGTGCTGGCGGGTTACTGCAGTAGATCCGCCTGGCTGTTACTGCAGAACGCGTGCCTTTGTGCACGCCACTTTTAATTTGCATCCTTTAATCCTTTCCAGTCTGCCAAATGACTGAAATGCAGCCGTTGCTTTACCAGATGTTGCCTCAGCTTGACGTTACTCTCCAAGAATCCCATTTAAATCTCTATGAAAGATTATTTTTTTAAGGGGGATGCTCTTTGCCATTAAGAATATAAAAATATCTACAATTATTTGTCCAGCAGCTGAGATGATATGACGCCGCCTCAATGATTTTTTTTTATTTGCCTTTTGTGTCTCCATGGGCTTGTACCTCAAAATAACTTGTGCAGGCTCTTTAGTGGCACTGGCACGTCTTGTGGCCGCATGACATACGTGATGTCATTTTTCACTGTTTGATGATAACGCCATGGAAGCTGTAGTAGCAGCAGCGCTTATCCCGACGAGCAAACTGGAGTTACTGGTTGCTTGGAGGGTTGCAATGCGTGTGCTTCCAGCTGGGGTGGTTTTGATGCTGGTGGTAAAAAATAAGATTACTGCTTTTTGATAAATAGATAAAAATAGATTAATGCTTTTTGAAAGCACTGGTTTGTTTCTAGCTATCTGTACTAATAAATGTTTTTATTGCTCCGTAACTGATGTAAAATGCAAGAGAAGAGTGTAAAGTAAAATGAAGACTTTAAAATAAGCTTCCATTTCGATATTAAAACATTTTTAGCTGTGTCCCAATGTTTTCAGCAGCTGGTGGAAGAGCAGTTTCACAACCCCACTAATGGGGGGGGGAATCTACTTTTGCTTTTCATACTGATTTTTATAATTTAAATATAGTATTGCATTCCTTTAATATTTGAGACTATTAAAAAAATAACCCAAAAGTTTAAAAAGGCGAAGATTTACTTGTAATAATAATTTATTGTTTTTACTGGTCTGTCAAGCCCTGGACTTAAAGCTTGTAAAATCTTCCAAGAACGGCTGGAACTGCAAGCCATCAGCTGAAGTCTGGAGGTTATTTCAGCTGTATGTGAATTTTATTTGGCAACCTGTCACAGATAAATTCGTAGCTGTAAAACTCGCAGCTGTTGGTAGCTGAAGAGAGAGCTGGCTTACAGGTACTTCATTTCAGACCTTTTTTTTTTTTAACTCCAGGGATCTGACCATGTGGAGTTTGGCAGAGAGGTCGTTACCTATTCGTTAGATATTTGAGCAGTACAGCAAATTCTGTACTTGGAAAGATATTTCCCATACCATTTCCAATCTACACATTCTTGGAATGGTTTGATTTTTATTTTTACTTTTTTTTTCTAGTAAGGTATGACTAGGGCAGGCAAACACAAAGTTGCTGCAATATTTTTCATTTCAATAGAAGATTTTTGTGGTAAGCTAATGTAATAATGAGTTCTCCAGCTCTTGGTCAATTTTAATTTGCCAGTAACTGGGGTTTTAAGCCAAAACTGAGTCATAGTTTTTCAGTCAGCTCCCTCTGCTGGCTTTCTAGTAGCAAAACACGAATAGGTGTAAGCAATGACCTCTAAATACAGTCAATAATTGGGGCATCTTATATTTTTAGCTTGTCTTCTCAAATCAGTGCCTAGTTGAAAATACCGAACAAGTAATTAAGGGCTAATCTACTAACTAGGAAAAATACCTTCTACGTTACCAGGGATTTGAACAAAATCTAGTTGGTTGTGGTTTTTTTTCCTGCTAGTTGTCTTCAAAAATGAAATTTGAAGTGTTTTCAGCCAGTGCCTTTATTTTTAAATAGTAATGTGCCAAATACTTGTCAGGACAGCAGAAGGATTTTAGGAGGAAGGTTATTTTCAGATAGGAGGAATGTATATTTCAGAAACTGGACATGTTTAGGCAGTTTAATTTCTTTGAATTAAAATTTATAACAAAGGAAAAATGGAACTAAATGCTTCGGCTTTTTACCATGAATAATAATGGCGTGATAGCTTTTGACACTCTTGTATTAAGAAATTACTAACGTCTGATGCATGCCCTTGCTTTATTTAGTTTTGCTGCAACTACATTGTTGTGCTTATCTTTTAATGCTGCCACTCTTTGGAAGATGAGGACAAGGAAGCCTCCCTGCCCCGTAGAAAAAGTGTGGGTAGACAAGCACAAATACGATGAAGCAGAGAGACTGCATTATGAAAGAGAAGCGATGCTAGCTGCCGCGGCCCCTGAGGAGTGCCAGGAGGTAGAGGCTGTAAACGGAGTCTGCAATGACGACTCTGTTGAAAGTGAATTCAAGGGTGACCTGAAGAGAGCGAGGAATGGAAAGAAACAAAGGAAACGGAAGCGTTCTCCGAAACCCAAAAACGTGGCTTCCAAGTTAGACTCTATTCTGGCGGGTTTGGTAGCTGACTGTGTGTGGTTTGACAAGCCTTTCTATGATCACGCCGAGAGTGCGTACAGGAAAAAAATAGTGGATTGTCAGATCCAGGAGGCACCTGAGACTGCACTAACTGCTGAGCAGTCCCCTTTAGTGGCCAGGTCGAAAGCTGTCCAAGATGTTCCTAAACCGAGGATGCTTTCAGCAGCCCTTCCCTGCTCCCATGGTAGCCTGTCTGCCTGTCACCATGTTGTTCAGGATGTCTGGGTCAACAAGTTTGACTTTGATAAGGCCGAGGAGATGTTTATTGAAAAATCTCAGTTCTTTGTTCCTCCAAATGTCCTAACCATCCCGTCTGTGCAGTCAAACGCTGGCAATGTTGGGCTGAGAACGCCGGATGAGGGCTATGTTACAGCCCTGCCTACTCCTGCTACGCCAAGCTTAGCTCCAGACGTCGTTGCTGGTTCTGCTTCTTCCTTCGTTACCGGTTTGCCTGGTTCTGTAGACCAGACAGTAAATGGTAAGCCGCAGATTTCAACTTTGCAGGCTCTCATGTCGGAGGTGTGGTTAGAGAAACCTCTCTATGATGATGCTGAGAAGAGCTTCTATGAGAACATGTTTGATGGTCACCCATCAGGCAAAGTCAAACAGCAGCAACGCGGCTGCCCTGAAGCTTTGAAGAACCACCACGAGGACAGGAAGGACCACAGCGTTGGAAAGCAAACGGGAATCAAACGCGTGGAAATCGCCACCAACTCTCTGCTTCCCAGTGATGCTGACCAACCACCGCCTACCTGCTTTTTCCTGCACGAGGACAGCGAAACTGTGTGGCTTAACAAGCCGATGTATGACAGAGCTGAATCACGATACTATGCAGCTGAGGCTCTGAAAATGTCAAGAGCGGTAGAGAGCACGGGGATGCAGGAATCCGCAGTAGTAAAACCCTCCCAACCGGCTGTTTATGCTTCAATCCTACCTGCGCCAGACATGAAGTAGGAGAAGTTTATTCTGGGGTAACACTCACACATGCAAAACTGATGGGTCAGGATTAAGCTGAAAGAATTTGCATGTGTAGAAGACGGGTGGCCTTTGTGCATGCAGGACCGAGCATGCATGCGTGCTACCGTAGGGCGATGCTCCTCCTGAGCCAGGGAGGCTGTTCGTGGGCTGGGGGGGGAAACTCCTTCAAAGATTTCTCTTCTCCTGGTCAATGCTGGTGGAAAAAGGTAGTATTAGCCTGAGAGAGTTGGGGGTGTTCAGTCTGGAGAAGAGAAGGCTTCAGGGACACCTTAGAGCCCCTTCCAGTATCGGAAGGGCACCCACAAAAAAAGCTGGGGAAGGACTTTTTACTGGGGCATGTAGCGGTAGGACGAGGGGGAATGGCTCCAAACTGGAAGAGGGGAGATTTAGATCAAATATGAGGAAGAAATTTTTCACTCTGAGGGTGGTGAGGCACTGGAACAGGTCACCCCGAGAAGCTGTGGCTGCCCCATCCCTGGAGGTGTTCAAGGCCGGGTTGGACAGGGCTCTGAGCAACCTGGTCTGAAGTACAATTCGGAGCATCAGCCTATGTGCTGTATTTGTTTTGTTGAGGGAGAAGGTTGTTAGACTATTTAGTCTGGAAGCTGCTGTTAATTTTGGGACAGGGCTATTGGATTACAGCTCGTTAGATGTGCGTGTATGTAGCTGGGCAGGAAGAGTTCCTTCTCAAATTGTAGATGACCATCATAGTTTGAACGTGCAGTTATAAAGACAGTTACAGACGGAAACATTTAAAGACTTCCTTTTTAAGTCCTGAATGAGGTGCAGTGCGATACCTTGCTTTTTGTGTTAAATACGTGGGTTTATATATGACTGCCTGAACCCTGAAGTCTGCAGCACGGAGGGCTGTAACGCCCTGGGAGCCTGTCTGAAGGTTTAGATGTTGTTTTGCAGTGCTAAGGTAGAGAGTGATGTTGGAAAAAAAGCTTTTGGAGCATCAGTCCTTATTTCTGATCCTTGAGTTTGTTAGGATTTGTTGGAAAAGTTTTTAAACTTTTACATCGAGTGATAAGAGGGGGTTACGGACAAGCTTTAGAGCTCACATGCCTTTCACCCTGGCCTATTTGGGATAATTTTCTCTTTAGTGAGGCAGAAGTAGATATTTGTTCATGCCTTTCACCCTTCCTCGGGAAAGTCCGTGTGTTATTGTAAAATATGTGACATAAGTTTGGCTGTAAGTGGGATTCTCTTTAATAATACTGGTTGGCAGCTCAAGCAGGGTCTTGGGGGTTTGAGTGCCGGGAATGGCTTTGGTGTAGAGGACCTGTATGGTGTGGCCTCTGGTCTCTTCTCAACGGGTGGATGAGAAGGGTGCTTGTTTTACAAGAGACTCATCTGTTGGCTTCCATGGAAGCGTTTTACTGGAGAGCTGTGGGGTTTTGAGCTGATAGGGAAAGGGTTTGAGTTTCTGTTAGTTGCTCTCTCGGCGTTGTATGGTGGAACCTGGTAATGGTGTGGTTTCGTTGTGATGCTCTCTCCCTGCTCTCGCCACCTCTTCAAACTGATGTTGGCTCTCCCCTGGCTTGAAATAAGAGCGCATCCTCTTCTCTTACTTGTTGCAAGGGTTCCGTCATGTGCCTTCGAGTTAAGACATTAACCTTTGGAAGCTGCTGCACTGAAGAAAAATAACTTGGACCATTTCACAGCAGCGTTAAAGTGTTTTATGCTCTTCTTCCTTGTAGTGCCAGGTGTCTGTCCCTTGCAAGTGTCGCATTGCTGATGATTTTGATTTCTAAACAGTTGCAGCAGCTTCCAAAAGGATATGTGTGTGGTTACCTGTGGTGCCACTGTAAATTGTGCGTGTCCTGGAGGCTGGTCGCCATCTGTGCCGGGCTGTTCATTACAGGAGGATTTGGTGGTGCACCTAGTGAAGTATGGCGTGACCAGGTAGAGACATACATCTACTAGCCTGAGACTGCCAACAGTTGCTGTCAACGCAGTTGTCGTGTTCAAGGAAGACTGAAATGTGTTTAAATTTGTGAGCTGTGGTGTCAGGAGTTGGCTGTCACATAGAGTGTCCCCTCGTTGGCATGCTGTAGCGTGGCACGTGCTGCTTGGAGCTGCGTATTCTTCGGTCTTTGGTTTCACCGTGGTCAGGCGTCTTAAGAATTCAAAGCGTTAATCCCTTTTTGATTCTCATACCCAAGACATCTTTCTTAGCAGCAGATTCCCATCTAGAAAATCCGGCTCTGAAAGCTTTTTTGTGGAAGAAGGTACAGATCAACTGGTTTCTTCTATTCCCCACTTGGTACCCTGTCACTAAATACAGGTCAGACCAGGCCAGACGGGTGGGTGATTAGGCTGCCCTGCTTTCTTAATAGGATCCTCTTTACTTAAAGCTTTCCACCGCCAAGCAGAGAGCTGCAGGCACAGCTCTATGGGGGAAGAAAACGCTCTTCTGACAACGCTCGTTGCAAGCTGCTAACCCTAAGTACTTCCAGGAACTCACTTTGGTGTTTTATTTTTTTCCTTTCTGCAGAAACATGGCAGTCGACTACTTTATGCATGAGAAGATCTGGTTTGACAAATACAAGTATGACGATGCTGAGAGAAGATACTATGAGCAGATGAACGGGCCGCTTGGCAGCTCTTCCCACCAGCAGGTAACGCTTGTTCTCAGAAGGGGTTTAGCAGAGTGCTGGAGCTTTTAAGAGCTGGTACAGAGTGGGCAAAAGGACACGATCCACCGGGATGTGCACTTCTATTGTTTCCACTCTGGGTGCTGCTTTTTCCAAGTGTGAGAGTCTTCCTGGAGCTCTCTGAGCCTACCCCCAGTTTTGATCCCCTTTTGAAATACCATCTTCTGTGGACTGTGAAGAATTTCTCCAGTACCACCAGCGTACTGGAAGACCAGACGCCCTTGTAACAAGAGGCGAACCAGTTTTAGGTTGCAGCAATTACTCTTAATCTTTTCAGGCAAGGCACAAATGCTGTCTGTGATCTAATGGGGGCATGGTTTGAGCCACAAGCCCCAAAAGCTGCGGTTCTGTTGACTGGGCTGGGCGAAAAATTGACCTGTCCCCATTCAGCCGTGGAAAGACGCTGGTTTGGAGCAGCTAAGCTTGCCTTGGCAAGGGATATACTGGGTATCTATGAGATGCTTGATGTTTGAAGAGAGGCACCATGGCTCCGAAGAGACCAGGAATTATGTTCCTTTCCTCTCTTTGTACCCCCCCGCAATATTCATTGTGCTCCTGCAGAAGACTGCATCGCAGTACTGGTGAGTTGGGGGGAAGCAGGTGGAGGGGAAGCAAGCGCACCTGAGCTGAAGTAGTTCAAGCTTAAATATTAGCCTGAAATTATTACTGTTGAAAGCTACGGAGCTATCGTAACCTCTTCCTGCTACGTAAAGAGCTGTTAACTGCTTATGCATTTGGTTGGTCATGTAGAAAGCTGCGTAGAGTTTTAAATGGCTGTCTTGCAAGTGTTAAAGGGGAAGCTTTTTGCTTAAGTAATATAGCTTCTAGGCACACTCTGTCTGTTCCTGCTGCCCATGCTGGCATAGCGGTGGCACAGCACCCAGGACACTTGCATAAAAATTAGAAGCTCGAGATAAGCTCTTGAAGTAGATGTTAAAGTGCAAACCTCTACAGTTAGGCTATTTTGTGCCACGTAAGGAGCTTCCAGTGAAGAAGTTCTGCCTGCGAGAGGCGGTGTGAAGGCTCTGGTGAAGATTCAGCAGCAGTTTATCAGCCACTTCCCTGCTAAGGAAAAAGATCCACGCTCCTTAAAACTTTTCCTGCAACCTGGAAGTGGTATCCACCTGAATGCATCCAGACTGTTGTTCTTCTATGGTCTGGGGTGGTTTTTTTTTTTGGCCTGTGGGCAGTTTCGTGTCTCAAATCTTGCTTGTTGGGGTTGCAGTCTGGGAGAGGCAAGGAGCGAATGGATCATGGAAACTGAATTTGTGCCCTAAGAAAGGAATTTTCCAAATCTAGGCTAAGGCACGGCAGCAGGAGGATGGGGGGCAGGGTGGGGGGAAGAAAACTTGTGCTGCTGTACTCTGGGTCATTCCTCTCTGGATGGAAGACTTCAGTTAGGGCTGTCACTTCTTGCCTGAATACAATGACAGGTATTACTCCGGAAAAAGAGCTGCCTAACGATAGATCTCTGAGAAGTACTGAAGTGACTCCGACCCTCTGCCTGGCTGGCAGCCGGCCGAACCATGCAGGGTAATAATGGCGAATTTGAAAAGCTCTTGACTGGATGATCTTCTGGCCACGTGGCCTGATGTGACCAGGGATTGCAGTCGATGCTGCTTTAGATCCAACCCTTGCAGCTAATTTTACAGTACTTGCCGAATCATTGGAAGAAACCCTCCCCCGTTCTTACCCCCCTTTTTTTTTGTTGTTGTTGGTTTTTAACTTCCCTGACCAGTTTCCCATGTTTCATATTTTTTTTAAAAACAAAAAACATCTTGGTTCTTTCTGCACTGTTTGCAGGAGAACGGAGCCAGCACGATCCTACGCGACATTGCCAGAGCCAGGGAGAATATCCAGAAATCGCTGGCCGGAGTGAGTACCCGAGCTCTCTCACCAGCTGGCTACCTGCAACCATTTTTAGCTGTGGTGCATCTCGCAGAACTCTGCTGTGACCACTTCATAGATTGTGTGGCTTCTTATTTTTAAGTTAGAGGAGAAGACTAAGGTGTGCAGCGCTGTGTACCACCAGCATAGCTCCATCCGTTCAAGAGCACCGCTACTACTAGAGTGCATGCTGCATACCTGCTTGCTAGCCTGCAGTGCTTTTTAAAAACTAACTGGAATTAAAAATTCTTCAACTGTGCATTTCTTTTCTTTTTCTCCTGGTGGAATGTTTCCACGAGTCTTACCTAACAAGTTACGAGTCACTGTTAAAATAACCTTGCTGGGTAGCAAAGCACTGAGCTGCCAGCGGGAGTATGTATGTCTCTCTTGGGGTACACTGAGCTGCCACCTTCTCTTTCCTGTTTTGCTTTCAGTTAGGGTATGTGCAAAAAAATGGTATCTTCCATCTGCTGCATCTAGGGAATTCAGTTTGGCTACTAGCTCTAAGTCTGGACCATCCTGTAGAAGTTCAGTCACATCCTTTCTGGAGGTGTTTTTGTGCTGATCTGTACAGACAGCACTGTTAAAACTTAAATTTTCAATAGGAAGCGGAGATCTTTAATAAGCGGACTGGTTTCGTGAGTGAAGAAAATTCACAGACTAGAGCCCACGTGTCTTGGTTTCTTACCTCTGCGATGGGACATAGCTGCACATATCTTCCATCTGAGGGTATCCATCCTTTGTCTGTATTGATTTGGCCTCACAGCTCCGTCTTGGGGCATTTAACACCCTCAGTTTCCATCTAAATCAGTACAACAGGGAATCAAGCCTTTCTTAAGCGGAATATTTAATATTCCTCCTTAACATAAGCAGAAAGGAGCTGTACATTTGGGGTGAATGCGAAGGAGTTAGGCTAATTGCTTTCCCCACGGAGGTCTCGTTGAACTGGACGCTACAAAAGCAACTTCTGCAACCGCTCATGTGAGTGATCCAAGATCCTCAGTACTGTACTGGAAATTTTGATGCGGATGCAGGAAGAGCAGGGCAAATTTACTGAAAGGATGGTGGGAAAGGATTATAATTTGCCTTAAGTAGGTTCAGTGGTCCCGAATACAGCTTGAATACAGCTTGGGAATCAATGGAAAGTTGGGACATCTTAGTAATATTAAAACCAACGAAAACATGTTGAGTAGGAAAATACCTAGAAGTTTTCTAGTGCTAGTTTCTTAATTCAGCATCATTATTTCAGCCAACAGCTTAGGGAAGATTTCCCTGAACTGGCTCATTTAAGTTCAGATCTGAAATAACACGTTTGGGCTTCCAGTAGAGGCTATCAGTCCAAAAGTCAAAAGACATTTAGTTTGGACTTCAGTAAGTCAAATATGTGGGGAAATGAGCCCCTGTCCCCAACAGGGTTGGAGAACTCTCCGCACAAGATAGCGTTAAATGCCTTTGGAAAGACCTTTTCAAGCTGGGCAAGGTTGCTGCTTCCTCCAAGACCTTCCCCCTCCAGGAGCAGAGGCTGGATGTGGAACATGGGAAGTTCCATCTTAACACGAGGAGGAACTTCTTTACTTTGAGGGTGGCAGAGCACTGGCACAGGCTGCCCAGAGAGGTGGGGGAGTCTCCCACTCTGGAGCCATTCCAAACCCACCTGGACACCGTCCTGTGCAACTGCTGGAGGTGCTCCTGCTCTGGCAGGGGGTTGGACTGGATGATCTCCAGAGGTCCCTTCCAACCCTGACCAGTCTGTGGTGAGTAGGGGCAGGAAACCTAAATATAAATTGCCTGGTGGTGCTACTGGTCTGCCCTGAAGGTGTATTCTCATCTTACTGAATGGTCTGTGGTTTTCCAAAGATGATGAGCTTCTTGCCCTGGCCTGTGACTGCTGTCAAAGAGCTTCTTTGCATGAGAAGCATGAGTCCTCCCAAGTCCTGTCATGGGAGAAGACTGGGGGAAATGGCAAAGCGCCAGACCAAAAACCAGAACAGAAATTTGAGAATATAAAGTCCTTTCCACCCCTGTTGGTACTTGTTGGGGTTAGTGCTGAATATAAAAAAAAAACCCCATCTGCTGGATTTTTTTTTTTTTGTTCCTGTGAAGAAAGCTTGGCGGGTTTGAGGATTTAAGGTCAGGACCGAGCCATAGGGCCTTAAAACTGGAATCTGGGGTGTTGCAACAAGTGGACTGAGACCTCTTCAGTGATGGCTTGGAAGGAAAAAGCATTGTGGTTCTGCACAGCTCTTCGGGGAAACATTTTGCACCCTAATCTGCGTTGCTGTCAGGGACGTGCCATAGTAATTTAACCTATAGCTGCCATTCTGCTCTCAAAGTATGCAGTTTGGGTAATCAGAACACATGGCAACGGTGACCTCCTTACTGTTTTGTAATCCCGTTGTACTGATCGTGCCTTACCTTGGTTTATAAAATACCCCGGAGAGTTCACCTTTTCAGTTTTTCCACTCATTGCCACCTCTCTGCCCTGGAACCTGAAGGAGTAAAACCATGGTTGGATCTTCTGTGTGGGTTAGAAGGACTGAGCTGTTGAGAAGCAAGTCTGAAACATCGGCTTTTGTAGCTTTTCTTTCTGAAGAATCATCAGTAATATCGGACAGCTGTGCCGTAGAGCAGGCTTGACTTTAGAACGTGCTTAAACTTTGGGTTTATGTTTCAGAAAGCCAAATTTATATTGTCTGATCTACAGAACGTGTTTTTATAGTCAGGATTTAGTCTTTCATTCCACCTGAACTTGCAGAGTTACTGTCAGGAGTCTAAAGACGTAGCAAGTGAAGAGTTGGTTCTTATAAGATGGGAAGATGAAAGATTGGTGTGAAATTCAGCCAAGGCTGGTTTCAGATCAGCTTCCTGGATAGCGGTGTCCTGAAATGTATGAATGAGCATTAGAAGGGTACCCAAAGGAGGGTACAAAGCTCTGATGCTGGAAACATTTGTTTGCACATACCTGTCATCCCGCTTTGCATGGTCATCTCTGCTTTACACAATCTCTCCGGTTGACATCTGCTCGATCGCTAACGCTTTCCTAGATATGAAGTTGTTAACATGCGCGGTACTGCAGCTGGTGGCATTGGGACCGCAGGTGGGGAGAAATCCTACAGCTGGGGACCTGAGACGGGGTAAGGATGGACTTGCCTGAGATCATAAGCAAGTCCAACAGAGCGGGTGACTGAGCTCTCACTTCCTAAAACCCTCCCCGGGGACTGTAACGAAAGGGATGTCACCGGGTAGGCGGCTGGTGTGGCAGTCTGAAGCTCTGTTATTCCCCTCTCTGCCAAAGTTCCCTCTTACAAAGCTTCTGTATCTGTGGCTTTCAAACAAGTAAAGCTCCCAGAAAACCTCTGATCTTGCTGAGGTGTTTGGAGGTCACATTCAGAAATGCGTGTGCGGGCAACAGTCGCACCTTCTGTAGGAAACCAGCCAGGATCCATCCTGTTGGTCTTTGGTCTTTAGTTCTTCATCATTTTCCTACAGTTTTGTGTATCCGATCATGGCTAAACTTTCCCTTGTTTCCGGAGCTCAGGTAGACCGACCTGAGGGGAAGGGTGTTGTATCTCTGCATGCACAAAAGAGATGTATTTCGACGATGCTGTGAGGGTTTAGTGAGCTCCGGACTGGAAAATCTACGCATGACATCTGTAGCCAAGCTTGTAAAATCTGCGTGCGGTTCTTTGTAACTGGTTAAAGCAAATTAAGTGAAAAGGGTTGATAACCTCCAGTTACTACTTGTAGTGAGGGAAGTTCCAGCTTTCCAGCTGGGTCCGTTGGTTGGGCCTGACATACCGAGGGAAGAGATTTTTACCTGTAGTTGTCCAGACAAATTTCTTTCAGACGATACATAGAATTCTTACCTGTAGTTGTCCAGACAGAGCTCTTCCCTCGGTATGTCAGGGAGCTCACAAAGCACTCGCAGCTTTATCCAAAAAGAAATGTGACCTTTGCCAACTTTTTCTTCATTAGTCAGTGTTCTCGTCTCTGATTTTTAAAGTATGTTTTAGAGAGTCAAACCATAGAGAGGGCCAGATGTTGAAAACCCTTTGAGGCTGAGGCTAGATTCTGTTTTCTACCCTTCAGAAGCAAGAAGTCTTTGGATGATTAAATTTCTGTGCAGTCCTTGGTGTGGTTCCGCGCTTGTTGAGCGCTTCTGCTATGTAAAATATTTTGAATAGGTTGCAGCACTTGTCAGTGCATCGCTAATAAGGGTTCAGCACAAAACCTGTGGCTTAAGCTCAGAAAAAACAAAGGTTTTAAGAGCTCTGACCATGAGACGATGCGCAGGAAGTGATCAGAGTGACTCTCTGGAACTCACCACCTTTTAGATTTTGAATATTGTCCTTGATAAAAATTCACAAACACTTGTATCAAGCTCCCTTGTGGCACAGTTGAGTCAGAAGAGGAAATAGCGCTTGGTTGTGCATAGGAAAAAAACACACTGTAGGTAGTGTGTAGCTTTAGGTTGGTGACCGCATCTCTAGAAGCTTAAAACATTCTCTCCTTGGGGGAAAGCCCACAGTCTCACAAAGGCAACTTTTCCACCATTTCTGAAAGCGTGGCTTGACCATCTCCCAGAATTGGGAACTTGGTTTAGCGTTTTGCCTTTTGTGCTGTATTTTACACAGGATACACATTCCCAAAGGACAACTGGCCCGGTTTGTGAAGACCTTTAATCTCTTGCTTGCTTGAGCTTGGGGCAGGCAACCCTCTCTTCTTGCCAGCAAGACATGGCTGTGCTCAGGCTCACCTTGCCCTGGCTTCGCTCAGGACTAACAAATCATGTCTGAATTCCACAGGGAGTTGATTTAAGTGCTGTCCCACGTCTCTGAGCGCTGTGAGCCCCCGCCGTGTAAACCTCCCTTTTAAACAGGCGTGAAAAATACAGCACCGAGCAGCAAGCGACTCCAGGTTGAGGATTAGTTTAGCATAAGTAATTTGCCCCATCTGTTCATCCAGGTACGCAGCGCTGAACTATTCGTATTATTTTTGTAGCTGTTTAACCTGTGGGTGCGTCGAGGTTGTTAATTAATCTTGCTATTTTCTGCAGAGACCTCAGTAGCAACTTGCAGCTGAGAAATCCCGGAGGTGAGATGACTCCCCATGGAGCCACCCCGATAGCTGTGCTGCAGCTCCCCGACCACCCGTGCTACCTGTATTACCGCATACTGATGGGCAGGTCCATAATTAAATGCCCCACTGAGAATTCTGGGCTTCGTTATCTGGGTTTGCAACCTTAATGTCGTCTCACCTGCAGGCTCGGTGTAAGCTGGCAGAGGAAGGGTGAAAAGGGAAGGAATTTGGGTGTTGTAGAGCTCCGCCTCGCTCTGCACAATTCCCTGGGTGCTATATAAAGCTTTACAGACAGCACCTGACAGCAATACACAGCTAGGTTTGTATTGTAGCGTTTTACAGTACTGCAAAAGGTCTGTTGCAGTAACAAAACGTCGTATTTCCGTGCTCTTGCTTGTTGAGAATGTCCAGACCAGAGTTTCACCTTACTCTTGCAAGCCATAGCTACAGCTCTTTGCGGAAAATAGTGGTGATCCTTTTTTTTTTTTTCTCCTCAAACTTCCCCTGAATGACACAGCCACCCAAGGCTGGCAGGTTTGTCTCCAGCTGAAGGCATCCTGCCAAAGCTGTAGATTTTTTTCCTGCAGGGAGGAGCAGTGTTGACCATGTGAGCCTCCAGGCGAGCGTAAAGGTAGATGGTACTGCCTCGATTTTTAGATTTCTCATCTTTGAGGGGTCGTTGCTAAAAGGGGAGAGAAACGTGGAGGCACGGATGGCTTCTGTGGCAAATGCTTCCACTAAACCTGAGAGCCAGGGTTTAAAAGCGGGCCGTTCAGCTACGCCTATTTGGTGCTGCAGTCTTGCAGAGTCTTCAACATCCTTTAGGGAGGTGATTTTGCCCCTCTGCTCTACTCTGGTGAGACCCCACCTGGAGTACAGCCTCCAGCTCTGGAGCCACCAACATAGGAAAGACATGGACCTGTTGGAGGGGGTCTGGAGGAGAGCCACGAAGATGCTTCAATGGCTGGAGCACCTCTCCTATGAGGAGAGGCTGAGAGAGTTGGGGTGGTTCAGCCTGGAGAAGAGAAGGCTCCAGGGAGACCTTATAGCCGCCTTCCAGTCCCTAAAGGGGCTACAGGAGAGCTGGGGAGGGATGTTTTGCAAGGGAATGTAGTGATAGGACGAGGGGGAATGGCTTTAAACTGGAAGAGGGGAGATTTAGGTAAAATATTAGGAAGAAATTTTGCACTGTGCGGGTGGTGAGCCCCTGGCCCAGGTTGGCCAGAGAAGCTGTGGCTGCCCCATCCCTGGAGGTGTTCAAGGCCAGGTTGGACGGGGCTCTGAGCAACCTGGTCTGGTAGGAGGTGTCCCTGCCCATGGCAGGGGGTTGGAACTTGATGATCTTTATGGTCCCTTCCAACCTAAACCCTTCTATGATCCACAGTTGTGCGCAGGATTGACAGCCGCCAGGGCAAACGCAGAGCCTGCTGAAATGCTTCAGCATTTGGCTTGAAAATGTGCCCAGGGCTTCAAACTGGCAAACATCTGTGGTGCTTGCTGAATCAGCGGGCTGCTTTTGGGGGGGACAAAACCCAGCTGTGTGTCTCTTCGCAGGTGACAACAGCTCCTGTGTTTGATCAGGAGTCAAAACGAGCTTTTTCATGGCGCGGGGATGGATGTGACTATTGCCACAACTCGCTTTTCGCTGAATTAACGGCGACCTTGACGCTGGTGGTGTGCCTAGGACAGGAAGATGTCAGGCAACGAGTTCATCTGAGCTTTAATTTTTGTCCTTGGGGCATAAGGCTAAGGGCTGGTGGTGTCACGAGCCCACTGTGGCGAGCAGCCTCTGTTCTCGGTGGTGCACGTGAGGGTGGAAACCCATACTGGGGTCTCATCGAGTTGTTAGTGCAGACCAGTGTTGTGTTGCTTTACTCCTCTGTAGCAGAGACGCGTTAGTGGAAAGTGGGGACTTATTAAGAGTTTTGGTAACTTTGCATGTCTTTCTGCATCTGTCGGGTATTAGATTTTACCTAATGACGGGAGAGCTAGAGGACACGGCGGAGCGTGCCATGGTAATATCTGCACCTACTTCCCCGCTGACTTTACAGATGGGGAGATGACCAAGACCATGCTCTGGACATCTCCATCTAGTTCTGCCACCCAGTTGCGCCACCTTTGTGTAGGCACTGAGATGTTTAACAAGAAGATGGCAGAGTTCACGGATAGATGTTTCTGTGCGGGCTTTGTTCGGTGTGTGGTTGGTGTGAGGCTGTTTCTCGTTGCTTGACGATTTGTCCTGCATGTGGATCTGCTTCTTGCATTTGAACTGCCTCTTCCAGCATGAGTGAAATCCTTTCCTATCTTCCGTTTTGAATCAAACGTCCCCCAAACCTTTTGCCCTTTGCAGCAGAAGACAGCTCCTCGTAGCAAAGAAGCTCCTTCTGCCCGTCACAAGAGGCAGTCAGGCCGCTCAACTGTAAGTCACCTGTGCACGGATGGAGCTGGTTGTGTGATTTTATTTTATTTTATTTTTTTTTTTCCCCCCCGCTCTACTCTGCCCTGGTGAGGCCACATCTGGAGCACTGTGTCCGGTTCTGGGCTCCCTGGTTTGAGAAGGACAGGGAACTGCTGGAGAGGGTCCAGCAAAGGGCTACGAAGATGATGAGGGGACTGGAGCATCTCTGTGATGAGGAAAGGCTGAGGGACTTGGGGCTTTTTAGGTCTGGAGAAGAGAAGACTGAGGGGGGATCTTATGCTTTATAAGGGAGGGTGCCAGGGGGATGGGAACAGTCTTTTTTCAGTGGTGCCCAGTGACAGGACAAGAGGGCACAAACCTGAACGTAAGAAGTTCCATCTAAAGATGAAGAGGAACTTCTTTCCCGTGAGGGTGGCAGAGCAGTGGCACAGGCTGCCCAAAGAGGTGGGGGAGTCTCCCACTCTGGAGCCATTCCAAACCCGTCCTGTGCCACTGCTGGAGGTGCCCCTGCTCTGGCAGGGGGTGGGACTGGATGATCTCCAGAGGGCCCTTCCAACCCTGACCATTCTGTAATTTCAGAGGATGTTGTATGGCAAGGACAGCGCTGCCTTGGAGAGATGGACCAAGTTCTTCCTTACGACGAGAAGCGTTTGTCGTAGCTCACCTGATCATAGAACAGGATCTTACAGCAGAGCGTTTAGGTCTCTCTCCCAGCTTGGTGTCTGGGTTCCATCTTAACATGAGAAGGAACTTCTTTACTTTGAGGGTAGTGGAGCACTGGAACAGGCTGCCCAGAGAGGTGGTGGAGTCTCCCACTCTGGAGACATTCAAAACCCGCCTGGACGCTGTCCTGTGCAACGTGCTGTAGGTGACCCTGCTCTGGCAGGGGGGTTGGACTAGATGATCTCCAGAGGTCCCTTCCAACCCTAACCATTCTGTGATTCTGTGACTACAGATCTGCCCTCGCGTTCCTGAGCCTGCGCCTCCTGCGAAGGCTGTGTCAGAGATTGATTTCATGGCGCGCTTTTGACATTTGGCCCCTGCCCCTTTTTGGGTGGGTGGAGAAGGGTCTCTTTGACCTTCCTGCTCGGAGCAGCTCGCACTGCTTCATCCCAGGACCAGGCATCTCCCAGACCTGCTTTCCGTGTGCCGTGTATTCCTCATCTTAACCCCTGTATTTCCCTCTCTCCGTCTTAAGTGACTGCTGAGATCTCAGAAGCGTGTCAACTGCAGCCGAGAGCTGCATTATAATTAACACGCAGGCTGCGCTTGAAGGAGTATAAATTATTTCCTCTATTGTTGCATTCAGTTATAAATGACACTTAAAGCGAAGTGTGAAGGGCTGTTATTTTCTTTGCCTTAGCTGATTTGAATTTATAGATAAGGGCCTCCTTAAAAAAAAATAAATAAAAAAGAAAGCTCTTTTTTGCTGTTAAATACTTTTGAAGCTGGATTGGTGTAATTGCTCCCTCGGGATGTGTTAAAATAGGGTTTACGTTGTCTCGAGAGAAATTAAAGGCTGGACCGGAGAAGGTGGGAGTATAGAAATGCCGGGATCTCTTTCCAGCTTTCACAGTGACTCGCTGTGGGACGTTAGGTCGGTCGCTTCTGTGCTGTGTGCCACGGTTTGTCTGCGGGAGGAGACCAACTGCTCCATTTAGGGGGGGCTCAGTGTGAAACTTTCAAAACCTTTTGTGTGTTTAGTGATAGTCTGTGATCTGAGACCGCAAAGGATGACTTTATCCTTTGCTGATTGGTGCCAGCTGAAATTTCTCGAGATGCGGTCCACGCTCCATTCTGTAGAGCTAGTGTATTTTTATAAAACCTTTAGAGAAAATGTCCTCCTTCTTAGATTAGCTCTCAAATTTTCTTCTTC